CCCCCCCCCCCCCCCCAAAAAAAAAAAAAAAACCAAAAAAAAACAGAAAAAAAGAAAAAAGAAAAGAAAATAAGAATATAACAAGAAAATTATCTGAGAAAAATGATGAGAAGAACATAATAGCCATCCCCAGCGCCACTGCCTTCACCATCCTGGGAAACCTATATTTAGGTTAGATAGAACATACAAATCTTGAATCCAAGGGGGCCTTCACTGCTATGCTTTTTGGATCCTCCTACTACAAAAGATGCATAGTATGTTGAGATAATCATCTTAAAATTCAATCATAGCAAGGACCTGTGAATTATCTTATGTCACAGGGCCAGTAACTCAAGTAAGTGAGTTATAGGAAATAATCAGGCGTTCTTCGCGTTACGTCAGGTTCTCCTCTCCTCGGAGCTGGCTCAAACTGCAAACATGAAATCGGCAGGCACTTCAAATTACAGGACTACCCTCTTATGCACTAATTTAAAACTCATATTTCACACACAGTGGGTTATAAGTTTCATGATGCCGCAATATTTCATAAAACCAGCCCAGTGGGTAATCACAAAACTAGGCAAGAGCGTCACAGACAGTTTGAAGGGAAAGAAATGCTCAAAATGGACCTCTCTATTACTTGTTTCATTACAAATAATAATGGTCTTTGATAGCAGAAAATAGCCATTGTTGCAAAGAAAATGAAAAGATAAGCACAGGTTGTTATTCTTGTATCACTCACGATAGTTAGGAGGTTATTGACATCACTTGCATTAGATCTTAGCTTGCAAACTCAGGTCAAATCACCAACTATGCACAATGAAAAGGGTTAGGTACTAACAACCTCCACAAAGTTCTAGAAATTTGCCGGTAGCTGGAGGTGAAAGGGGTGCATGTGCCTACATGAAGAATGTTTGTGCGTGTGTGAGTGCGCGAGTGTGCATTGGTGAGAGAAAGAGAGAGAGACCTGGATAAATGTGTGCTCTTTGCAGTCATCGACTTCCAATATAGATGCCATGTTTCCACAACGATAACAATAATTAGGCGCACTAAAAATAGTGACAACCTTTTGTTCCTGTGGCAACATAACAATCAATAAAGCAAAACTTCATTTCCCTCACAAAAGTAGAAATCAGAAGTGGCTCAATAGTTCAAACTCATAGTACTTACATGTCCCCAGTTAAATCCCTCCATAACCAGCTGATGAGCTCTAGCAATCAGCTTTAGGTTATTGGTATGATTGAATTGCTCAGATATGTCCTTTTTTGGAAAAATGAATGGCAAAAATGATAAACATAATTAGATTATAAAAAAAGGGAAACAAAAACGGGAAACCACAAAATACCTGGCCGAAGGTGTATCCTGCACCACGGGGAGAGATACCCCAGCCACAACGATCATCAGGGTCAGACCATAACAGATCACACATAGGGCCTTCATGTGGAACTTCTTGAACACGATCAAAGTTTCTTATATTATCAAGAGTTTCAATGGATGGGGACAATCCACCATGAAGACAAAAAATTTCGGATTCAACCTAGAATTAAACAAGGATAAAATGACTAAATTACAATCAACTTAACAGAGACAACAAAAACAAACTTGACAACTACAGTTCTGGAGAACAAAGGGCAGGCATCCATAAGCTTGCAACATAAAAAAAAACACTAACTTACTACGGGAAGTTAATAAATTCAAAATTGAATACCCTCCTAAGAACAATCTATGCAAAAGTTTTTGCGAGTTAAAGTTAAATATAATGAAATAATATGTGAAACACAGTTAAATTGTACAAAATGTTACTTTATTCATTACAAAGAAGAAATCTATATGCCACATGCTACCTGCCAATGCCTACAATTAATGTTTCTTCAAGAGCTTATCCACACTTAAAAAGGAAAACAAACCCCCGCAGCAGTAGCTTATAGCTCAATTGCAATGCAATCTACTTGAGCAACTCAAGTAAAAGAAACAAAATATGAAGGATCATTTAACAAAAATTTGAAGTGTCTATTGAACCAATAAGGAAAGCTCATAATCCCGAGGCCCTTTTTATATCATATAAAACAAATTTGGAGAGAATAATCTGCTGAATTTTCACAGGTAGTGGTCATTACCCAGTTTAATCCCATCAATCGAGGGTGGTGCCAGGAAGGGTGGACAGGGTATTGACCCAGCCTGTGGCATTATTGCACAAAGTGACTGTCCTCAAATTTAAACCCACAACCTTAAGGACGATAGTCTAACACACCCTTGAGCTAAGCAATGTCCACTTCTACCAGACTTGAATCAAGAAAAAAAAATACTTATACTTGCAAATTTAACCATGGTAACAAATCACTTGAGTACCAGCAAATGATCCAAGCTAAAGTCTAACTTCCCTTATAATATATACAGTTCGGGTCTAATAGAAATAATTGACCTCAATATCATGAGTTTTAACAGGCTCCACTTGCAGAACACCACAAAACATTCACAGCAATTCGGTTCTCAGCCTAAGATTTCTTCGGCATCTTACATCCGCAACAAGTTCAAGAAATCCCCCATGGTTCATGCAGCCGAAAAAAACCCTCCACAGAGGCAGCCACCGGTTCCCAACACATAAAAAACATTTTGAATAAACCAAGTAAAGAAGAATGATTGAATGCCAGTGATGCACTGATGGGCAAATCCCTAAACCCTAATGTTTTTAGCTACTCAATTTTTGTAAATAATGTCTGATTTAGATGTGCAATGAACCAAAAACTGAAACCAGCAAATAACGCATAAGCAGCACAAAGCTACACAACAATTTCTAAGGAAAGCTATCTTATCATAAATTGGCATCCATGAAAAGAGTGCAGTTTTAGAAGACATAAGCTGAATAAGAAAAGGAATTTGCAAAGACTATTTAAAAAAGTGTCAGATATTTCTTAATAAGGCAATTTCCTAGGCCAATACTATATTCTTCCTTCCTCATGTCTTAACACTTGAATGCTGCTATTCACTAGTAAAGAAAAAGAAAAGCAAATAATCTTGCATCAACCTTAACTGGGTAGAAAAGTTAATACAAAAAATCAAAATAAGCATACATCAGAGAACAATACATGGAAATGTGAGAATTCTACTAACCAAAGCAGTTAGAGGGAAATAATCAAAAAGATCTGTAAATATCTTCCAAACATTAGCACTTCCATACCTGTAAAATAAACAGTAAAGTCTTAGGCAGCAGCAACAATACGCGTGAAAAGAGGAGATAATTTTATGTTTTTATTTGGTTAGCTAATATTTATCTTATTAGGAGATTTAAATAAAGTTTGAGCTAGAGAGCACTTTTTATTTGAGTAGGACACTTGTCCTATAAATAAAAGTGTAATCCCAATTATTTTAATTATAGAATATGAATTGATTATTCTCTGTGGAGATTTGTGTTTCTTAACCGAATCCTTGCAAGGATTGGTTATCCCCCTTATTCTCTTTCTTCCCCTTCCCCGCCCTGTGTCACCAAGACTGCAGCAATTCATGACATGCCATTGGACACATGTGTACAAAAGTCCTCCAGAAATTTTATAGAAATAACTGAGGTGGCACACGGCCCATCCTATATCAGAGTTGGGATGAGTTGGGGATTTCAAGTTTTTTCATGGGACAGGATTGGGTAGGGGTACCCCATACTGAACCACTCTGTTGACATCCTGATTTGTATCAAACTCTTCTGACTCATGCAATCCCAACACATAGTATACCGAGACTCGGGAAAAAAGGTTCAACACTTGGGTACTGGTATATTGACTCCCAGAATTTAAATTTTTATCATAAAACTATATTATCAAGCAAGGTTATGCACGGATAAAATTCAAATGACACACAGATTTTTGCGTGAGAATAAGCAAAAAGGATCAAGCAATGAATGACAAAACATCTTTGTTCGATTGGAACCTCAGATAGCACAAGGATGTAAGGAACTTACTTCCGTAGGCATTCATCATAAAAACCATAGACTTGAGTAATCTGCAAAAAAATACACCAAATAAATTCATCGACACTCACAAGAAAGATTTTAGCAGTCAAAAATCACATCAGTAGTACGCTTCCCAACTGTAACCAAAAATGGTTCCACACTATAATTTACTTGAGATAATTTCTTGGATGAACTAGTTCCATGAGTACATACTCTACAACAGTAAGATCCACGGAAGGATGATGGGGTGAGCCAGCTCTGCTCAATAAAGCTCGGGAAACTATCGAGTTTGGCTTGAGCTCAAGGGAGCCTCATCCAAGCTCAACCGAAGTTTAATATGAAATATGGACAACAACTCAATTTGGCATCATTGTTTGCTCTACACTAAAAAGAGAAAAGACCATTTTTGGCTTAGAAAATAGAGAGGGGAGTATTTTTATACACATTGTATGTCCACAGATTGCACCCTTGCTTGGTGCTTGCCAATAAAATGTTTGCTTAACACCAAAAAAAAAACAAAAAAAAACCTAGCAAATAAACAAGTTTGGAAAGAAGAAATAACCTGTCACATCATATGACATGCTTGCAGCATCAAGGAAAGGAGAAATAACCTGTCACATCATATGACATGCTTGCAGCATCAAGAATCATTTAAACAGTTCAAGCTTGAAGCATCACATCATCTGACTTGATTTCTTAAATTGTTTTCTTTTCTTTTTTGTTCGGGTTTGTTTTGGGTGGTGGGGGGAGTCTAACAAACAAGATTAAGCAAGGTCATCATAATGCAATTTGAGACCTTGTGAAAAGTAAAATCACTTTAGATCCTCACACTTGCCAGACAAGTTCGGAGTCAAACGGGTTACAAGAATTAGCTCGACTTGTTAAGCCCACAAAATGAGTTAAGTTGAGTCAAGCTGAAACACGTCTCCAGCAATTAGGCCTGCCTGACAGTCATACCAAATGTATACCATCGTTACTGGACTCGATGAAGGACAGAATCATGAAAAACTAACATCATGAGTAACACAATAATCAACTTAAAACAGAGTCTCACACATAGACATTAGGAAAAACCACTTCAAATCAGATATCCAATGAGTCTGATGATTATCAGAGAACAATGACCACTCAATCTCTTATTCAATTTTTAAAAGAATCAAAAAGCTAAATGAGAAAACGGAATACCTGTCGACTCTCATGATTTCCTCTAAGAATTGTAATCCGCTGAGGATAACGTACTTTCAGAGCCACCAGGAGCTGGATAAAATGAAGGTAAGTACTACCCAATAGCCACAATTCATTTGCATACCATGAAGTACAGTGCACAAACTATGATAAAGTCCATTAGCACACAACAATCACATCCTTTCTAATTTGCATACTTGTGGCATATAATATGGCATCGACTAATAAAATGTTAATAGCAAAAGTAGAACTAGCACGGAAGTGTTTCTTTTAATTTTTTTGCATTTGGACAACTGGATACATAAGTTCTGAATTCATAGAAAAGTAAATCAAAGTCTTTTGAATTTCATGCCATACAATATCATGAAATCCACAAAGCATGGCAAAAGCAATTTCACAATGAAATAAAAAAAATAGGCAGTTAGGCACAGTCAACAAGCATATTCAGTAAACAAGCAAAAATAGTTATACTCAACCAAGCATACATAAACAACCATCCCTCCCTTCTTCCTACTTTTTCTCAAAAAATAGAATAAATAACGCAAACCACACCCTCGCAGAAATATATAACAAAAAAAAAAATGGCAGTGCCGCAAGATGAACAAATGCATACATGATCATCACCATATGGTGTTTTACATGAGCAATTTGATGTCCATATACATTCTGTCAGAGGAGTTTTTTTACACATCAATAGAGATCTTCTATAACTGATATACCTATACATTCACCAAAAGATTTGTTTTTGTGAATACTTACTGTGACAGTTTCAACAGAGTAGTACCCACGATCCACATAATCTCCCATAAATAAGTAGTTGGTATCTGGACACTGCCAATAAGAAAATGCAACTAAATAAGAGTGAAAATCAGAATAAGACCAAAAACAACCATAAGAATACCAGGGGCCTTCATGTATATGGTATCTTAACAAAACAACAGCAAAAAAATAGCACTCTTGCTATATTCATGAACAGGACCGTTGTAGGCAAAGTTAGCCAACAATACAATAGCATTACACTGGTGCTTTTTTCCCCTAAGAACCTATATTGATCCTTTAAGAACTCTACTTGCAATGGTACACCCACAACTTGACAGTAGTTCCGAGGAGATTTAATAGGACAAGAACCAGAATGATCAAAAGACTTTGATCATTAGATCCAAAGAATGGGCATGTTCTTTGAAAACAAATCTTACCTACTTTTCACAACACAATATATTAGATGGTATCATCTAGCCTCCATAAGCATTCATGACACAGTAAGGCAAAAGGTGGAGTATGACCTAAATTTTCTGTTACTACTGTAATAGTTAAAGCGGAAACAACCTCTCTGCATGGAGAGGTAAGGTTGCATATATCTAGCCCCCAGACCCCACAATGGCAGGAGCCTTGTGTACTAAGCCGCCCCACTCTGATAGTCAAATCTTTTGTTATACCCCTTTATATGATTATAGAACCAACATCCAGCCTATATTTGGCTTAACTAAGACTCAATTCTGAATTAAATACTAGCAACAAAATTAATTTTTTGTACATTCCAAACATTGTCCATACAAAAAATCCTTGCATAGGATTATGTTGGTTTGAATTTGAGATTCCAATCCCTCCCCCCCCAAACAAACAAAAAAAGTTGTTCATAACTAAACCATTACCAGCAAGAGTCCAAATATCCTATTCTGCGTCACTAGAGTGAAGGATGAAACTACATGAAATGGAAACAGTTCCGCAAATATCATAGGTGTTAAGAGCAAAATGTAGAACCCATAACTTTGCTTTATTTTGAAAATACAAGAGAAATTCTTTTTAATCCAGTGGTAAAAATTCATTGTGCAACATTTTAGATTAAATAGTGCTTGCCTTCTACTAACTTCTTTTTTTCCGCTTAAGGACTTATCTGAGCCTCTTCAAGTATCTATCTGATCCTCCCAGGCACATGCAAACTGTGCCCCACATTTTTTACATGTACAAGATTCCACGAAGGGCCAGAAAAGAGATATTTATCCTTCAAGCATTGTTTAGGTCTCCAAGCCATGCTTTGGGATTTCAGATTAGCTGCCTAAACATCAGACCAATGCTTGATGAAATCAATCAAATGACATATCCTTATGTTGCTGCAGTAATAAAATATTTGCAGATTCTCCTGATTGTTCCTTTTAAGGTTTCCTCTCTCTCTCTCAAACCAACGCCAAAAAAACATATTATTTCCTATTCTACTCATTTTTACTTTTAAATTGTTTCGGAATGGATGTTGGCATATTTTCCACCTTTACCAAAAACTGCCTGTCATGTAATGAAGACTTACAAATAGAAGTTTCATATCTTAAATTAAAAAAAATATGTGATCCCTAAAGATTAATCAACCACTAAAGGGCCCAGAAAGCAACCATGCAAGTCATTCTTTTGAGCTATTAACCCAAGTCCCCAGGCACAAGTATCAAAGTAAATAGATCAAACCAGTAGTCATATCCTAGGCAGGGGGAATAAGTACAAAGTTACAGCAACAATCCTTCTGTAGGTACATAATGACATAATAATGTCAAAAAGATTTAGAAATAAACGCCCATTTTAGAGTGAAGATCAAATGTAAAAATACTAGCATTTCACCCTGCTATTGTACCATAAGACCACTGACATCCTTAATGCCATTCCTTGGCCAGTCTTCCAATTTACTTCCCCTAGCTCAAACACAAAAATGAGGAAACAAATGTCACATTAAATCAAATACCTTGCCTCCAATCCGAAAGAGTTCAGCAAGATCATGAAATTGCCCATGAATGTCACCACAAATGGTCACAGGGCTTTTTACAGGCTGCAAATCAGGGAAAAGGAAACGAATTCAGCATTTAGATGCTACAAAACCTAAGTTGTACAGAAATGAAACAGCAAAGTTTTTGAAAAGAATTCTTGTGGCAATTAGTCCTTTGACAAGAATTACTCTCATCTCACACTATATTGATGGGAAGAATATTCAGAATAACTTTTCTCAATAACAACAAATGAATTCCATTAAAGAAAGACCCGAATCAAAATAATGTGGTAAACTGTAAGCCGTTTCAATACATGATGCAATGCAGGGGAAAAAGCAACGCATTCGGTATTAAGATGCCAAAAAAATCTAAGTTGCACAGCAAAGAACACCAACAATTAAAGAAGAATTCCTCTACAACTAGTCCTTTAACAAGAATTCCCCTAATCTCCCATTATATTGATGGGAAGAACGGTCAGAAAGACCCAGAACAATACTAGGAAAAAACTGCAAGCTGTCCCAATATGGGCAGCTAAGAATTTGCCGACCACCAAAAGGCTCAGAATTGATCATCTCTCAACCTTCAATTGGAAAATTTATTCAAAATTTCTGTTCATGAGAATGAGAGAGTGTGTGTGTGCACATCACAGACAGAAAGACGGGATAAGATTAGAAAAAATTGGAGAGAAAGTTTAGTATTGCATTCATTATATTTGATTGCAATAAAAGCAGTAATGATGTAACCCAAGAAGAACTAGAGTTTATACCTGTACGTTACTTTCGTCCATTAATATCTCCTTAGCCTTCTCACATAATGCCTTAACCTACATCCTCAAGAATAAACATAACATTAACTCCATCATTACTCTTCTTAGTAGCAATAGAAAATAAACATTAACACGAAGATGACATCCACAAAGACAGCATAATAGAATGAGCAATACTAAGTAGCTATCAGAATGTACATGCATGATAGTATATGTAGCAGCTTTGTCTTATCTTATCTTATTCAAAAAGTCCTGATATTTGTCAAGTGGTCATTTAAATAGAGTAAAGTGGGCCACCTAAGTGAAGGCATTAGTGTCTTTTTGTAGGAAACACTAGTCAGTGGTATCAGCACAAATAGCCCTCTTATCAGATTGTAAGAACAGCCTACTCATTCATTCCTATTGTATCAAAGTTCTGAGCAGGGGCGGAGCCAAAAATCTTCTCCAGTGAGGGCAACAATAGTCAAAATTTTAAATGTTCACAAAAATATATTTTTATTAATAGAACGTCAATTAAAGATACAACTCAAATACATGAGCGATGTAGAAAAAGAGCCAAAAAAAAAAAAAAAAACTCACTATAAATTTATTTATAAGACCTAACAAAAAAAATTTGAACAAAAAAATTGGGCTCAATCATATATTGAGTCTGTACTGAGAGAATCCAAATTGTCAAACATCCTATAAATATTCATAGTTGCTCCTAACAAGTTTTCATATTTTGAAAGTGTTATATGATAATTTCATTATCAATGGTACTTAAAATTATTTTCTCAACATATGTAACCAAGCAATTGTTCATCTATTGATCTCTCATTCGATTGCGTAATTAATTTTTTAAAAATTAATTTGTTCAGTAACAAACTTAGTGTTCATCAATGAATTTTAACAAATAATAGAAACTAACTTAAACTATCACTATTCTATTAAACTAAACCTAGGTATAAGAATTACTTAACCTATTATAATAAAACTATTCAAACCACCAAATCAAAACAATTTAATCTAACACATAATGGAGGACTATACGCCCGAATTCCAATTCAACATATAAGAATAAAAAAAAAGAGGGCTACAAGCCCCAATTCCAATTCAACATAAAAATAAAACACAATAGAGGATTACAAGCTCCAATATCAATTAAATATGTAAAAAATAAATCATAAAAGTAGACAACAAGTCCCAATTTCAGCATATAAAAATAAATAGAGGACTACAAGCCCCAATTTCAACATATAAAAATAAATAGAGGACTACAAACCTCAATTTCAATTCAATACATAAAACAATAAAACACAAAGAAAACGACAAGCCCCATAAATTTTTTAAAACATTTTAGTCGGGACAAATGTCTAATAAATTCTAAATTTTTTGAAATTATACTTACACCCCACATTTTTTTTAAATTCCAATGGGGGCAACTACCCCCACTGTGAATCCGCCGCTGGTTTTGAGCCCTCGTGGGTCTCGTTAAAACCTAGAAGCCTTTACCTTTCATTTCTCCCTTCAAACTGATGTGTTGTCCTTTAATTATTTTATTTTCTTAATTTCATATTTTTGCTCTTCTATAATATCAAAAAAATATCTCCTCTTATTTAGGGTCAAGATTTATAATTTGTATGCTTCAAATGGAGAATGACCCTTCTTTGTTTCTTAGTTGTTTAATTGACCAAAGAGGTGTGCCTTCTGGAATGGCTGATCCAGGTTGTGCCACTAAAGCATTTGCCTTCCACATACATTACTTAACCTTATTTACTGGTTATATATTTACAACACTGCCTACCAAACAACCACGATAGTTATCGTAATGACGATGACAATGACAATGAGTCAATGACAATACACACAGATCCAATGTCACACGAAAACACTGTTGGCAAGAGAAAAGTAAGAGGGGATAATATGAAACTTCGACCAAGAAAACTGGCAAGCAAGTTTGTTATCCAAAAAAGCACAAGATACAAGGAGAAAAAGAAGAAATCCACCCAGAGAGGTGAAGATGCTTTATTCTTCTATGTTACTCACTTACTTGTGAATCAAATAATATGAGATGTCCCCTATGAAAACTACCAAAGAAGTTCTTGCTATGGGCATGTTTTCATCTGTGCTCTTTCATGATTAATTCAAAAGCACTATCGCAATTCACAACATCAAAGGAGCATTTAGAAAACTCAAAACAAAAAAAGTAGGATCAATCGAAAGCATGCTATTTGTCGCAAGAAACCCACATCTTTTCGCTCCTAACTATTGTCTTCACTTAGCCCTCCAACTCCCCCGAAAACATAACAGTGTGATCTCAATAACAAACTCAGAACACTGCAACAATTCAAATTCGGATGTGGTTCTTTCAACAAACAAATCCAGGAGAGAACCCTAATACGACTCACAATTCAAGTTCAATACCATCTAAAATACCCTAAATTCCTCCATATAAATATTGGGTATTGTATGTATGTGTCATTTTCATTAACAACGAAATTCTGGTCTAAATAACAAACTCAGAAAATAGCAACAATTAAAATTGGGATGCGGTTCTTTCAACAAACAAATCTAGAAGAGAACCCTAATACGACTCACAAAAATTCAAGATCAATACCATCTAAAATACCCTAAATTCCTCAATATAAATTTTGGGTATTGTATGTGTGTGCCATTTTCATTAACTACACAATTCTGAAGCAAAAAAACCCAGATCCATCTGAAATAACACAATTGATGAGATTTAGATGAAGAATTCTTGCAGACATTAGTCAAGATTGATCTTTAAGTTCCAAAGAAATAATAAACGAGACAAGATATAGGGGGTAATACACACACACACACACAAGATCCTGACCCTACCTCAGGCTCGGACAAGGGCTTGCATTGCATGAGCTGTGAAATCTGCTCGTCCAGATTGCCATGTGTATTCGAAGCCACCAGATCCACACTCATCTTCTTCCTTTACTATCTATGTATATACTCTCGTTCGATACAATGGTTTTGGTATCGAATCAATGCCCAGAAAATGGTGTATAAATCCTAACCCCTAACCCTGGATTGAGGGCACTGTGTGTTGGGGTAAGGACTGAGAGAGCTCGACAGAGCGCGAGCGAGCATTGGTTAAGCAGAGAGAAGAGAGACGAGAACTGAGATAATAGAGAGAGGGGCCCTCGTAAACCGTCGGATAATTACAATTTTATCGATTTTGTTAACGATTAATAGCACTTCCCCCTCTGCCCAAAATAATATTTTAAAGAGCTTTTTACACTTTATACCCTAAAAGATATTTTAATTCTCATTTTATACCTTAAAAGATTATTTTTTTCACATTGTACGTCACATGTCATAAATCGATTATAATGCGACTCTCGGAGTAACATTTTATGTCAGATTCTGCTAAAATTTAATGTACATGTTACCCAAATATATGAATTTTATAATGCGACTCTCGGAGTAACATTTTATGTCAAATTCTGCTAAAATTTAATGTACATGTTACCCAAATATATGAATTGCGAGTTTATATTTTTATCCAAAAGAAACATACGTAAGTAACATGTAAATCAATGTTTAACAAAATCTGCAACGATGTTAGTCCAAAAATCATATTGGAACTAAATTATGATATTTAGGGTGTAATGTGAAAAAAATAATATTTTAAAGTGTAAAGTAAAAATCAAAGTCTTTTAAAATACAAAATTGGGACTAATTTGTTTGCGTTTCAAAAAATAATATTCAAAAATAATTTTTGAGAAGAGTTTTAAGACAGTGGTTTTGATATCTTTTGAGATAAAAAACTTGTTTGATTAGGTGATTTTAAAAATAATTTTATAATACAAAAAATATTAAAATCTGTTTGGACAGCCTAAATATATATTTGAATAGTAATTTAAACATTAATAAAAAAATATAAAAAAACTATTTTTATATTGACAATTTCAAAATATATATATATATAGACACACACACGCATATATATATAAATATGTTTTCGTATATATAAACAAATATGTAAATATGTTTATATATATATAAACAAATATGTATATATATAATATACATATTATAATATGTATATATATATATATATAACCCGTGCCTGAAGGCACGATAAAATATAAAATTCGAGTGTCAAAAAAATCGATCACACTATATTAAATTTTTTCAAACTATATTAATTACAAATTAATTAAATATATGATATAAATAAGTTGTGTGATATTTTTAGGGAGGAAATATATAAATGATTAAATATGTGATAGAAATGAATGATGTGATTTGACATTTAAGTCTGACAAATGGATGATGAGTGAGGTAAGTGATTAGTAATGGTTTTGAGAGGGAAAATATGACTGGGATAAAATTCAAACACACTCATATATTTATTTTTTATATATATATCGATACTTGAACGTTCAAAATTGTTTTCCTTATTTAAAAAATTTTCAAAAAAAAACTCTGAAAACAAGCTACACTTATTTTCTATTTTTTTGACTCAAATCTGTTGTTTTTGGCCAAATTTTAGAGAACAAAAATGCTAAATAAACAAATTTTTAATATTTTTGAAATTTTGAGAACAAAAAACTGTTTTGCAGAAGCTAACCAAGCCCTTAAGAAATCCTATTTTAAAAATCTCAACTGTTCTCTGAGAATAAAATCATGTCACCATTTGCACAAAAAACCAAAGAAACAATCACATTACACATAATAATGTCAAAAACTTGTTTCACATGGGCATAAGACTATTAATGAGCCTTGTCGTATTAGATTGATGTTGTGTTGAGACATGTAGTGTCAAATTTTACTTAATTCATCCCCAACTCATTTCAATTCGGGTATAATTGAGTTTATAAACTATGTATAAGTCGTGTTTAGCGTGTTTGTATTATTTTTAATTGGTTTTCTTGTTAATTCATTTATTTAGTTAGTTTAACGGATCTATTCGTTTATCATCAGAATCTGCTAAGAGTCGATCCAAACTCATTAATTCCTTGTTGATTTTTCATGGATTTCGCAAGCTAAAATTGTGAGGGTTACTTGCACACATCCTCTTAGTTTTTGTCAAAAATGTTTGATGAAAAATAATATTTTGTGAAAAAATCATACTCTAATTCCTCTTTTTTTTGCATAAAAACACAAGAAAAATGCTCTTCAACTTCATTTGAGTATTTGCTCCGAAAAAAAATAAAAAAAACTTCATTTGCGATTCTCTTATCATATCTTTCATTCCTATTTACAACTTATTTTTGTTTTTCAAACACTAGAAGCATCTTTTTGTTTTGGTGAGGCACTATTAGAGATATAAAAAAGACAAATTTCGAACTTGCATTAATCATAGCGATGATCATTTGACGAACTATTAATCTCTCACCATCACCATCACCATCACCATCACCATCATCGGATACCATTTATACCACCTAGGAACCCACACCCATTGCTCATTGTTTCCTGATGTAGTGGTTGATATTCATTTGCACACATGTCAACCAAAGGCAAGACCTAAAATTGAGAAGGTTTGAATTTGTCTCCTTCCGTATGTAGATGGTACTAGTTTCTTAGGTTAGGTGTCAATAATCCAATGTATACACATGCTCCTTTAGTGGGTGAAGTAAAAGACTCACTCATAGGAGTCTCTTTCAACTTAGATCTTGAATTAAGAGTGGGTGTTTATGGTCATAAAGCAAGAACTACGTGTAAATCTAATTTATCTACTCAACAATATATCTAGGGACTTCACAATCTTCAAAGAATTTCATTACCCACAAGCATTACCCATCAAAATAAACTTGATCCATAATCTATCACCTTCACCTTTCTACACTCTTATTGGTTAAAATAAAAATACACACATATAGATACATACCCTTAAGAATACTTTGAATCAGTCAATTCAAAAATACCCTATGAGCTCACAACCAAAGTAATTTTTTTTCCATACAAATTCATAGGCATCTATATTACATATGTTTATGTAGCCCATTACACATATTCATAGGAAAAATTAAGCGCAAAAAACCCAATAACCACCCGAGATGCACTTGAACTGAGCACCCATTCAACACTCCGGCCCCAAGGATTGCTGCCCAATTTCACTCTCAATTTTGGCAACACATGAGCATAGATGAATGCACTACAAAAAAAGAAAAATATATATATATATGTTGCTTTAGAGCAAAAACTTAAATTCAAAACAACATAATTTTATGTTAATTTATCACAAAAACGACGTCGTTTAAAATCTTAAAATCAAAGGTCTGATTGATTTGCATTTCAAAAAACAACATCTGAAAATTATTTTTTAAGAAAGTATTTATAAAAAATTTTAGATTATAAAATTTGTTTGGTTATATATTTTTAAAAATAATTATAGAGAATAAAAATTATAAAATTTATTTAGACAAAAATCCACAATTCCAACCACGTCTCTTCGACTCTCTGTCTTTCTCTCTTTCGCTGTGTATCAGCCAACATCCACAACCATCAACCCAAAACCCACAACCACCACCAACCCAACAACTACCACCATCACCAACCCACGCTGAGAACCACCCAACACCCACCACCTCTTTGTCTATCTCTCTTTCACCACCCAAAAACTCACAACCACCACCAAACCACCCCAAAACCTCCCACAACCACCCAAAAAACAACCACTGAACCCAGAGCCACCCAAATCCCACAGCACCCAAAACAAAAAGTGAGCGAAGAAGAAAAAATTGCGAAGGAGAGAGAAAGAGGCAGTGGTGGCTACTCAGATCTATGTTCTGGCAGCTGTTGGAGTTCCGTTGGACGACTGATGCCTTCGTTGGTGGAACCACGTGCTGATTCGATGGATTGAGGATAGGAGTTCGCTGGATTTGGGAATGGGGCTTCACTGAGTTTGGGGTTTTCAGAGTAATGGAGGTGGGTTCACTGGTGGTGGTACTCCGGTGGCTTTGGTGGCGATGGCGGTGGCGATGGGGCTTCACTGGGTTTGGGGTTTTCAGAGCAATGGAGGTGGCTTCGGTGGCAGTGGCAGTGGCGATTCACTAGTGGAGATGGTGATTAGGGTTAGAGATTTGGGAGTTGGGCATATGGGAAGTCACAGACTCACAATAGATGACATAAGAAGCAAAAATAACTTTTTCTTATTAATTTGGAGATTGGTTACTTCCCTTATTTTCATTTTGCCTTAAAAAAAACAATAAGAATATTATTTTATTATTCTTTAAAATTACATTTCGCTTTTTCAAAAATTTAGAGAATAAAAAAATTAAACAAACAAACATCATCTTCTTATTTTTAGAGTTTTAAGAAGAAAAATAATTTTTGAAAATCAAACCAAACACCCCCCAAACTTCTTAATTCTCTNCTTCTTATTTTTAGAGTTTTAAGAAGAAAAATAATTTTTGAAAATCAAACCAAACACCCCCCAAACTTCTTAATTCTCTTCCTCTACATTTTCCCTCGTCCCAGGCCATTTTCCCATTACTCTCCAATTCCCGCTGGCCCACTCTTTTTGTCTCTTTCAATCAAACATCACCAACACCTCGCCACTCTCCTCCGACAAAGTCATGTCTCCGGTGAAATAGAGTCCCTCTCTTTTCTTTGTCTATCTTTCTAAACAATGAATACAAAGATAGGGTTCTTCATTCTGTACCAGTATTATTTTTGTTTTTAATTAGAATCGTTTGTGGTAGATTCTATTGGAGATTTGTATGAATGTACAAGAGAAGTAATTATATTTATGAATGGGCAAGATCAGGTGCATATTTTTTTAAAAAAATTATATTGCTGTAATATGGTAGTATTTACTTCAAAAAAACAACTGCCGAAGCATATACCCTGTTTTTTGCTTCCGCATTTTGCCGAAGCAAATAATTTATTTTTTGCTTTGGTTCGCGCATGCAGAACTAAATACTTCTGTTTTGCTTCGATTATTTGGCGTATGTAATACGTTTTTCCTTCAGAAAATAGCCGGCGCTAACTCTCTCCATCGAGGCATTTTTACTGCGTCCCCTTTTGCCTAAGCAAAAGCCCTCTTTTCTTGTAGTGACGGCTCCAATTCATTCATTACACGTGGAACTATATATTTATATAATGTAATTTAGAGTGACATAGTCCAATAGTCTTTCATTGAGACTACATTACTTCACACATCATTAAATTAATCAATGGGTCATAACTTGGGAGTTTTTTTTTTTTTGGCATATAATTTCCCAGTGAGAAATTTATTTTGTAATTGTTTTCTGGAACATACCAGGGCTATCAGAATCCTTGATCCTAGACCACAAACAGGAATATAAAATACTACCCTCTGTGTGTGTGTGTGTGTGTGAGAGAGAGAGAGAGAGAGAGAGAGAGAGAGAGAGAGAGAGAGAGAATACTGTGTGATACAGCTCCAAAGAAAACAAAAAGTGGGTCTTTCTTCAAAATCAGTACATGCGCCATGCAAAGGAAAATGCTAGCTGATGAATTAAGAACGTGTACCTGTCACTGCTTAGTAGGCACTTTGATTAAAAAAGGTAAAAGGAGACAATCTGGTTAGGTTTAGGTGTCAATCACAGGTCATCATAAACATCGTTCTTAAATCTAGAATATTCTTCCCCCCATGCATGGATTAAATCTAGAATAGTTTTTCTAAACAACCAGCATTTGCAAGCCACAAATCAAAAGTTTAAAGCAACCCTAACCGTTTCGATTCTTTACCCATTTGCTACATGCTACAACTAAAACTCCATTAATATTGTAAAGGAAGTTAGTTAAGCTTAGAGATAGGGCAAAACAAAAGGATAGGAATTACATAATCGTGTCGGAGTTATTGATTCTCGTGGTGTAGAGGGGAGAATTGGATGGTGACAATTAGTGCGGTGAAATTACTCTTTCTTTATCTCATACTATATAATTAATAAACTTTTGAAGTCGTAATCTTAGCAATCTTATTAAGAAACTAAGAGGTGAATTTTTAGATAAGTCGAGAGTAATTCAAACTACCGATTTTCTGATAAAAATATATATATTTTTAATTAGATGGAATGTTTTCATCATTTGTGTTGTTTAATATGAAACTAGAAATAGTAGAGAACTTGTTTAGAAAAACTATTTATTTCATCCCTAGAGGCGAATACTTAATTTGTATTCTATTTTCGTTCTCGTATTTTCTCACATTAAAAACATGAGCTAAACAAAAATTCATATTATTTTCGTTTTCACTTTTCTTGAAAACTAAAAATCATAAATATTTCCAAAAGCCGCCATTAATTTTAATAAAGCATCCCCACCACACATGTATAAATATTACTATACATTTTTAATTAATTAATGTCATTTGTAAAAAAAATTAAAAATTATTACGGGTCCAATAAATAAATATTATAATATTTTTTTATTAAATATAGACAGCACGTGACAATACAACCTATACCTCATTAGCACACTAGTTTTGTCAATTGTGTGTGTATATGCACCCCCCAAAATTGAATAAAATGGGTCATCTCAGGTCTGGTAGTATCCAGAATTTGGCACCCAAAAAGGAGAAAAAGAAAAGTTGTGGGTGGTTATAGTCGGTGACAGGTGTCAGCTCCTCAGTTGTGAAGTTTCTATAAATATGAATCTCGATCAGATAAAAAAAAGTCTCACCGGCCAGGGGATGTCTCTTTCTGGTTCATCCTTCCCTTAATGCAATCAAAGCCACTCAAATTTCTCTTTTTTCCAGTTCAAATCTTCATCAATAAGAAATAACTTTTTTCATACGGGCCCTTACGTAAGTAAATCATTTCTATTTTTTTTGTGTTATCATTGTCAAGAATATTCGAATCGATTTACATATATTTTGATTAATTTTTTCTTTAATTCGATCGATAAAAAATAGACGATTCACACCAAAATTAAAAAA